GGTCCTCCGCCGGTACACCGACGATGACGGGAGCATGGATTTTAACAACTTCATCAGCTGCCTGGTCCGCCTGGACGCCATGTTCCGTGCCTTCAGATCCCTGGACAGAGACGCGGATGGGCTGATTCAGGTGTCCATCCAAGAGTGGCTGCAGCTGACCATGTATTCCTGAGCGGGCCACGAGAAGGCCAGCCCCGTCCCGGAGGCCAGGACGGCCGAAAGCCACGCCTCGCTGCTGTCTGCATTGCCACTGATACCACGGCTCCCGCAGCTGTCATCTCCCGGCCCCCTCTTCGAACACCCCTACCAGTGTCTGGACGTGTGCCTGCTTTTTACTGCTTCATTAAAACAGATTTTCCATGAGAAATGTTGCGGGTGGTGTGTGTAGCCGCTGTTTGAGATGCTGGGTTGCTATGGACTTCAAGGTGTGATGAGGGTGCAGGGCGGAGCCGTAGAGACTGGGTTTGAATAGGTTATTGCTCAGTTAGTGGACGGATACCAAGGAGCAGGGTGTTTGTTGTTAAGAGTAAAATTTTGAGGGGAAAAGAATTGGAATCAATCAAGAGAGCACTCAGGAGATGCGTTTTTTTTCTTTAGAAAGGTGAGAAGGAGGCAAATTCAAAACCTGTTTTTCCTCCTAATTTCACAGCTGATATTTCCATTATGCAAAAGAAAAATGAAAAATGCTTTCCCAGAATCCTATTTAACCGTATAGAAACAAGTTCAGGAATACGGATGAAGCTGTTCTATATAAGGTTAGTATTTTTTTTAATGGTGGAACAGGTATCTAAAGTTCTAGAGTTCTTTAGGTGTAGAAAGAGCATTCAGCAATTTTGTTTTGTCTCCCTGTTTGTAAAGAGGGTCAAGGGCATTGGGGAATGAGTGTCTGGCCGCTGTGAGGATCCATCCAGATGATCGCTCTGGCATGTGTTTTGTACACACAGACAGGCAGGCCCAGCCTCAGCCAGCCCCTGTCATGTCTTGCCTTGCCTTGGAACAAGGACTGTTTTTTTAATTGTTTATGCTGTGTCAGTTGTCCCCGCCCTCCCCCACCCCGTCCACCTCCCCGCCAGCCCCCCTCCCCTCAGGCATCCCCCATACTGTTGTCTGTGTCCTTGGGTCATTTGTATATATTCTTTGGCTAATCCCTTCACCTTCTTTCAACCATTCTCCCCCTCCCCTACCCCACCCCCCGCAGCTGTGGGTCTGTTCCATGTATCCATGCCTCTGTTTCTATTTTGTTCATTAGTTTACTTTGGAACAAGGAATATTTTGGTGGTTGTTGTTCCTCTCTGAAAACCAGGCAGGAGAAAAAGTAAACAATGCAAGGGGGAAAAAAAAGAACTTCCACAAATCCTCATCAGTTCTGTGGTATATAAAGCAACACAGAGAAATATACGCCAGCATCTCTGGCTCTGTATTTTAGTCTTCTCTGCCCTGGCTGTCCTTCAGACTCACTGGTGGGGGCCCTTGAAGGATACTGATGCCTGAGTCCCACTCCAAATAGTTAACTGGGAATCTTTAGGGGTGGGGCCCAGAGTCTTTTCAAAGCTTCCCAGTGGTTCTAATGAGCAGCCCAGGCCAAGGGCTGGGTGTGCCAGCCACGGCTCTAAAGTAAGGCTGTCTCACGGTATTTTCCAAATGTCTTCCCCAAAACAGGCCCAGCCGGAGAGTCAGTATTGCCAGCGTCCAGAGAAGGGAAATGGGCCCGCCAAGAAACCGACACCCCAGGCCGGGGGAGTCGTGCTTTTCTTGTGTATGTGGCCCTCGGTTGGGCTTTATTATTTTGACTCGGGTGGTGATGGCAAGAGGAATCCAGCATCCAATCTGGTGAACAGAGACACTGCCAGAGGGGCTGCGTCTGCAGCTGCTCAGCTCACCTGCCCGTAGCCAACTGGTCCCCCCCCCCCCACTGTGTGCCTGGTTTCCATCTGCTCCCTCTCTCTCCCAGGCTGCTTCGGTGGCTCCTCCTGAGTTGGAAGATAAATTCTTCCTTTCTCTTTTGACTCATGTAGAGGAGAGCTGTCACTGTGGAAATGATCTGGCTTGTTTGTGAATGGCCCTCCACTGCCAGTGGGAAATCCCCAGTGAAACTAGAAGGTGGCATTAGCCCCTGTGGTCACCATCATCTCCATCACATAATAGTATGAAACCACAAGCATATAACTCCGCACCGAGCCAAGCACACAGGCAGCCCCACTTTGCTCATGGGATCTGTGACTCGAGCTGGACCTGGCCTGCTGCTCAGGGTAGGTGCAGCGGTGAGATCCGCAGGAGGCTGCTACCAGCCACCGCACGTTACCTTCAGGGTGTGCGTTGTAGGGTACGCCCACCGATGCGCTCGGCCTTTCAAGGTCCCAGAATATCAAGGTATTAACTTAACCTTTCCACATGACCGTCGTGGAAAGGGCGGAGAAGCTACACTTTCTCTTTCGCCTCATTGTAAATATTTTATAAACATTAAGGTGATCACGTCACACTGTGGGTGGTAGGAAGTATTTCTCTTGTTCCTCAAGTGAAGGGACCCCCGACTCTTGTGATGGCTCCGCTGTGCGCACATGCAAAGCATCCTGAAGTTCCCCGCAGTCTTCTCTCTGTTCTCTTTGGAGAACAGAAGGTTTTGCATATTTATACAAACACATTTGCTACCAATTAATGTTGTATAGCACTTGTGCAAATAACCTCAGTCTCTAGAGTGAATGCTAGAACATTCAGTCCAAACACTGGATTTTTTCCAAGTAACCAAATCTTTGGTGTAGAATGAGTAATTAAATTTCTCAGTTTTCATCCAACAGTGGGTATTCTAAAGGCACAGTTTTCAATGTTAGAAGGAGCATCTACCAGATACTTTTGTTTTTAACTGTTGCTGCTTCAGCGTGGGAGAGTACCTAGGTTGCTTTAAATAAAGGCCTTTGATTCCACTAACTCCTTCCCATTAGTTTAAAATTCCTAGTATTCAGCATTGCAATCAACATAGTAAGCTGGTAATGATATCCATTGATATGAAAACTATGTGAAATCACACCCTCTCCACTTTGTAAATTTAAAATGCCCCCCCTATGATTTTGAAAAACACATTCATCTGGACATATTTACTGAATTCTGAAACCTGTCGTAGGGAAAAGTGCTGTGTGCCGTGCACCTAAGAACAGCACATCTCCAGAAGTTTTCAGCCTTTGTATATCATTCTAAAACCACTTTTAAAATAGTTTTTGAGGTGCCCTGGCCGGTGTGGCTCCATTGGTTGGAGTGTCGTCTCATGACCCAAAGGTTGTGGGTTAAATTTCCAGTTGGGGCACATACCTAGGTTGCCCTGGGTCCCCAGTCTGGGCCCCCAGAGAACGCAACCTCCGTCTCCCCCCTCTGGACGCCTCTGATCCCCTCCCGGAGTATGTGGGAGGCAGCCAATCAGGGCTTCCCTCTCACATCAGTGTCTCCACGTCTCCCTTCCTCTCTCTACTCTCCCTAGCTTTCTTAAAAAGAAAAAAAGAAAAAGCAATAGAAAAATAAAATAAAATATTTGGGGGGTAATAGTTCCTATATATTTACAAGTTAATTTATATAGCCACCTCAGTCAGAAATCGTATCAAGTAGTATGGCCTAACTAATCCATAGTGCAGCTTTGAAAATATTTTCGGATGCACCTATTGATCTTGAAAGGCTCTTAGAAGGACTTACTGCAAATGCTTACTTGTCATGCTAAGTGGATAAAACAACTTAATTCCTGGAAAGTGTGTAATACGGTTACCTACTTGGGTAGAAATGTACTCTTAAGGAATATTCAGAATATTCAGAATACCTCTTCCCCGGCTCTTCTGGAGAACTGAGAGTTTAGTGTATTTGAATAGCAGTACTCCCCTGGCTCTCTCGAGCATCTTTGAAGATGCAAAGCCTCTTCCTCTCGCTGCACAGTCATGGTCCAATCTTGATTTGTGTGAGGCTCACACTCTCACTGATGCCAAGGATCTGTTCATCTCTGGAGTCCTGCCCTAGCGTGGTTGTTGCTACCAGTTCACTGCTTATCTGGGAACTCATCATTTGCCCGACACTGCTACCAAAATGCTTCTAACACTTGGGATAGTAGCCATAATGCTGTTTGGGGTTCTCCTCCTGCCTCCATCCTCCTTCTTGTTGCCATCCTTTCGCTCCGTCTCCCCATCTCTTTTCTTTGTCCTCCCCCCCTTCTGTCTAGTTCTCGCTCTTGTCTCTTCCTTCTGCCCCTCCCACCTCCTCTGTCTCTTCCTTTCTCCCTCCCTTCCTCTGGCCACGCCCTCCCCTCACAGTTCCTGTCTAGGTGAGTGGTTCGCATGCCACAAAGAGCGGTGCTCAGTCAGCCAGGGTTGGAATGGCCAACCCTTTCTCGTGTGCAGGATGGAATGCCTCCTGGCTGTACGAGTCCTGGTATCATCCTGGTCAGGCTTAGCTTCCGGCAGCTGAGACACGCCGGATCTTCTGGAGCCTGGGGTCAATCACCAAGGGGCCACTGGAGCTGCTCGGTTTGCCCCGTTGCTGCTGGTTTATCACAGATAAAGCCTGGAAGGAAGAAGGGAGGTCCCTGAGCTTACTGCCTCCACTTGCCCTTGTCCTCTGTTTTCCATTTTCTGCAGGTAGAGGGTTGCTTAGCAACCCCTTAGTGACCCGCTAGCATCGGCCACTGTCAATGGTGGAGGGAACACTTCGGTCCCACCTGGGAGGCAGGGCCTAGATCCTGCCTCCCACAGGGGCTCGGGGCACCACAGGGCCCCTCTAAATCACTTATCACTGAGAGCCCCAGCGATAAGATGTTTGCATTTGTCACAAAACAGAAATATCGTTTTCTTCCTTTTGAACTGGGAGTGGGTGAGCCACCTGCTTGCTGTCCTGCCTCACTTTTTTTCCATATAGGCTCAGCTCACGACAGTGTTGAGCTGCGTGGCATCGCCAAACGTCACCCTGCGGGCTGGGGTCAGCAGCAGTTCCACTCGTGCCCCTGCTAATCGATGTCTCCCATCTCTTCTCAGAACAACGATGGCAGCATCGACTTCCGGGAGTACGTGATCGGCCTGGCTGTCCTGTGCAACCCCGCCAACACAGAGGAGATCATCCAGGTGGCATTTAAGGTACCATCTGCCCCAGGAAGCGCGTCAGGGTCCCCTGCATCAACGAGTGTTGACTCTCTGTGTGTGTCATGTGAAAGTCGGTGAATCCGCCATGGGAGTTTGTGGATCTGCTGTGACAGGCTCACGAGGGTACTGAGGTTAAGACAGTTGCTGCTAAGAAAGGAAACACAAGCACCAGTTTAAGGGCAAAGGCATCTGGAAGCAGCCCAGGCCGCCATGCTGAGACCCAAAAGCAGGCGATTTTACAAATCGACCTAAAAAATTCTCTCTTTCCTGCCTCCCTAGTTCCAAACCCCGAGGTGAGGTTTGTAAATAAATGTCCCCTGCCACTAAGCATCCTGAGTCATCACGGGGAAAGTTCTGGTCTGTCCATCCATCCACGCTGTGTGTGTCCGAGGTTGTCCTGGAGGTGTTTTCCTGGTGGAGTTTATTTTGTGGTGGAGGTTACAGGTGAATTCCATCCAAAGTGCCCCCAGCGCGCACCCTCCATGTTTCCCTGTGGGATACCATAGGACACTGCCATCTGTTTTCGAGGAGCCGATTTCATGGGTCACTCCAAAAGAGGGCGAAGAATACATTCCCAAAGTGTGTTTCCAGTTCTGAGCTGAAAGGGGCTTCTTCTAATTAGTACTGGAATGGGGTGCTCGCTTCCGAATCCTAATCTCCTACGGTCTGCTCTCGAGTGAAACAAAAACCCCCGTCTCCCTCCGGTCTTGTCAGTCGGTGGCTGCGGATCTGCTCGTGCAGCTTGTGCTGCGCTCCGTCCCCCGACGAGAAGCTGGAGGACTTTCTCGTTCCCGTCTCCTCCTCTCGTTTCCGCCTGCTTTTCTCTGAGAAGATGACCCCACCAGGACCCCAACCAGTTCTTCCTCTATTACCTAGACAGACTCTTCCACCCAGAGCCCTTTCTCACACCGTAGGCACCAGCAGGGACCGCCGCAGGAATGTCCACGCCTTCTGTCCTTGGCCCAGGAGTCCCCGAGTTTAATTTTGGATAGCGGGCCTGTTTAAACCGAGTTAACTTCGAGGCCTGGGAAGCGCCCATGTGGTTGATGGTTAGCAGATGGTGAGAAGACAAGGCCCAGAACTTCTTCCAAGTCGAAAACTTTTGGCTTTCACTGCCTTATTCATCATAAAACCTAAAATTAGACCCGTGGCTAACTCCTTCCGACCCAGATACTTCTGCTGGTTTGGGGATCGTATGTGCGTAATGATGAGTTGAGCTGGGCAAATGTGCACTTCGGGTTGGCTGATGAAAGACCTGCTCGAAGCTGCGGTCCTCGGTCCCCGTAATGACTGGTTTTAAAGATGCCCTGAGATTCTGTCTAGCCTGGGCCTTGGTTTGGGGACAGAGCAAGGAAAGGAGGTTCTAAAACTGTAATTAGCTCTTGTTTTCAGGAAGGCAAGGGTCATGCTTTATATGGGTTATTTCTGGACCTTCTTGGATGTGTCTGAAAATATTTTGGCATACTTGACATTTGTGTATGTGCATGTACATCTATGTGTGAAATCCATTCATGTTCTTTCATTTGGGCAGCATGTCACAGTTAATGCCCCATCTCTGCCCTCATTCCATCCTCACGGAGGCCCCTGGAGGTAGAATACCGGTCAGAGATCCGCGGCCATAGCAGCGGGCATGGGCTCCGGCCAAGGAGCCAGTCTGAGGGCAACGAGTGGGCTCCGGGAGCGACTCTGCGCCCGCCCTGGGGCCTCCAGTGAGAAGGAGCCGGGCCGTTCCCATGTCCCCCACTCCCATGGCAGGGCGGGCCCAGATGGTCTTGGGCCATGGTTTGGGAAAGACAGGACATTTTGATTCAGTGTGTGACGGTGTTCCGTGTCACGGGGAGGCAGCAAGCCCCAGAGGAAACTTGGGTGTTAAACTTTCCACCAGAGCCTGGGGTTTCTGTGAGATCTGGAGACTGTGCAGCAGGGAGACTGTCGGGAATGATGAGTAATTGAGGGGAAATCGGGTGTTTTAGTGAAGGGAGCGGTCTGGGTAGAGTGACAAAGGACAGATGGAGAAGAAGTAGGAGTCCCCAGTAGGGACCTATGGACGCATGAAGGGAACTTAATATGGAAATGAGAGCCACCCAAGATCCAATGTGGTGACAATTTACACTGTGAGTGGAGGGGTGAGAGCTGGTTAGGGTGGAAGACCTTTGGAGGGAGTTCACCGCTCCCTGGAGGGCAGTGGGCGGGATCCTGGCAGTGCAGCTTCCAAGTCTCTGGCTCAGAAAGAGCCCTGGGGCTGCAGTTGGGGGAACAGATGCTCCTCTCCTTTCCATCTCCTGCTATCTTAGCCGCAGTGGGGGCTGAGCAGGAGGGAGTAGAAGTCAGTGCTTTCTCGGCTGCGGGCAGCAAACCACCACTACGGCTTATATTTCTCCCCACCGACCCTAATAGACAGTTATAGCACTACGCTCTATTTGCTTATTGCTCATTTCACAGTTACCACACCGTACCCAGTGTCTGCGGCTTTTTCTTGTTCTCGATCATGTGTTTGGTCAGAAGTAGGCACCTTAACAGCAGGACCTCTAGATGTTGTCTGCCCGGATACGGGTCCCAGCTCTGCTGCTTATGAGGGGAGTGACGTTGGGAAAGTTACCTGACTTCCCCAAGCCTCAGCCTTCTCACCTGGAAGGTGGGGCGAAGAATGGCACCAACCATACCCGGGATTATTGTAAGGGCCACACCAGTTCATGCATGTACAGTGCTTTGGATACTTTCGATCGGTGCTTGCAGAGTCAGGGCTTCTATCATTAAAAAATGTTAATGCCTGGAAGAGGATTTTGAATGTGGAATATTAATTATCCATCAGCTATTCTGTTCCGCTGCTGAACTTAAAAAATCCTTCCACTCCGTCACTCCTGATCTCTACCTGATACAGGTCCTGTCTCTGCTTTCTTATGAAGTCTCCCCCTCCTGTGCCCTTCCTGTGTCTCACCCCAGACCCTCAGTTGGCTTTCCTGTCTCTACTTTTATTTATTAACCTTCTGCCCCGACCCCTCCTCCACGCTCCGCTGTGAAAAGCTCCCTCAGTTCCCGAGTGATCACACCAGCTCCCCGATGTCATAATCCCACAGGGCCGGTGAGCCGTTCTGTTTCCGTCATGGTCTCACGCCTGCTTGTCCCTTGGCCAGTCCTTGTGCTTTCCCGGGATCTCTCCCTTTAGGTTTGGAGACCAGCTCATGTGTCACCTCCCGCGCTCGGCCTTCCCTGACCTCTCCACGTAGGGGTCATCGTTTTCTCCTCCGCGGGACTCCCGTGTCCTTTGTCCTTTGCACCGTGGTAGCCCCTGTTTCGATTCTGTCTCTTTGCACCACTGATGTAGAAGGGTTGTGAGGGCGGCAGACACCCTGCTTTCTGCGTGAACTGCCCCTGGCCCTGTGCAGTGAATGTTCCAATGATTGAAGGGTTTATTGCCCAAGGTCGGTCCGTGCCAGTGCTGCTCCGAGGGGGCCAAGTCTCACCTTTTGTCTTGTTTCCTGCAGCTCTTTGACGTTGACGAGGACGGCTCCATAACGGAGGAAGAGTTTTCCACCATTCTTCAGGCCTCTCTGGGAGTGCCCGACCTTGATGTCTCCGGCCTCTTCAAGGAAATAGCCCAGGGGGACTCGGTGTCCTACGGTGAGTGGGCAGTTTGGCTCCTGGCCCAGTTTGCCAGAGAGATGATCCGGACCGTGGGCTGGCTCTCGTACAAGAATGTTGTCGCCCTCCGCTAATTCTATTAACCACGGAAATGATGATGACGATAGTGAAATGGTTGTGGTGGTGTCATGGTAGTGGCTAATGACCGAGGACTCAGCTCATGCTAAGGACGCTTCTAAACATTTGATGTCTGTTAACTCCTTTATTCCTTACAGCAAGCCTTAACGAGTACTATTCATTATTCTTATTTTACTGAGATGCAAAGAACCTCAGTAAGTTAGCTGAGGTCATCCAGTCGAAGTGTATCAGAACGAGGGTTCCAGAGCCAAGCCCATCCGGATTCAGAGCCCGGCCCGTTGGCCTCTGCACCTTAGTGCATCTCGCATTTCTCAGACCTGCTGTCCCTCCTTGAGGGCTTGTCCTTTCGGCTGTCAGCCTGGCCAAGCAGCACTGAGCACGTTCACCCAGCTGGGCGGTGACCCCTGTAGCGAGACATGGGCTGAGGGACCGACCATAACAGGAGCAGCCCAGCCATCCGTGATGTTTACTGTGAGCAGCAGAAGTCAGCTTTCATGCTCACTGTCCCACGTCATGTCGATGGCACCCCTGTGGGGGAGGGACTGTCAGGGAGGCAGACCTTACAGCCAAGTGGCAGGTTCATCCATCAGCAACTGACCTGTTTCCCAATGACTTCAAGACCACACAGCAGCACACATCGCCTGGGGCAGGAGGGTGGTGCCTCAGTTTCCCCGTGTTTCATGGTGCAGCCAGGGAGAAACACTCCACCTCAGAGAGACCGAAGGGACCTGTCTCCCTGTCCGAGCTTTCATGTGGTCCCAGAAGTCATGGCGGCTTATGTTCCCCAGTCTCCTCCCTCGGGCTGGCAGAGGGGTCCCCTTGAATGTTTTTCTTTATGGTGTTCAAAGAGTTTCAGCTTAACTTTTATGGGACAGGGAAATGAGATCACATACTTCTCCTGCTCTCTGTTTTTAATTACTGTTGCTTTGGCTGCTCTTTACTCTCTTTTAGGTAATTAAGTGCCATGGGTACTTACTCTACTGAGTTCATTTAAGAAAACAAGAAAGATAGAAAGAGTGGAGGAAGGGAGGGAGGAAAGAATGGAGGGAGGAAATGGGGAAGTATATACTGAGATAAAACTTGTGATTCATAAACCCCATGTATACACATTCTCTGACCATTTTGCTTTTATAAATAAGACTCTCTATTTTTCTGAACGCCAAATTTTGAGAAACTATTTGGAATAACTATTTTAATGCAAGCTTGTACTAAAAATTATTTGTAGGTAGTCATAATTTTGCCTGTCGATTTTAATAAATTTTTAGGGAAACCTAGGTTGCTTGGGAGAGTTCGACCTTTTTCTTTTCAGAAATACACAGAATGTCTCCCTCTTCCCAGTAGAGTACCAGTCCACTGCTTGTTTGTTTGTTTGTTTGTTTGTTTTTACAGGAATGTTTGGGACATTTAAGTATTATTTTATGAAAGAATAGGTATTGAAATATATCATGAATACGACCTTTTAAATTGTTGAATCGTGATCATTTAAATTGCTTTCACTTGGCCACATGAATGCCCAAATTCCACGTAAAGTTAGTTCACAGCACTTCATCTAGAAATGAGTTACTCTTTAATGCCACTGGCCTCCCCAAAGAGGAGAGGGACCTGGAACTTCTGAACAGACCACAAGCCTTGAAATGAAAGCCCTTGGTTTCAGCAGATGAACCCTCACGTTCCCTTGTCGTAGGCGGCACCTGGGTTCTCTGTGTCTCTGTCACTGAAACAGACTCATGAGGATGAGCCTTTCTCTTGGATGTTAAAATAACAACGCACAGCTTGCCTGATTTGAACCTGTAGAGAGGACTGTGCGTGTGAAATCACATTGCAGTCGCAGAGAATGATCCGGGCCCAACCCGATGACTTTCTCGGCACCAAAGACCTGTTTTATCATCATGAGTTATTAGGTCACCTGCAGTGAAGCAGGCTCCTGGCCATCAGAAGGTTTTTAAAAAATACACGGATAGAAATAGGACATTGGATTAAAAATCCTGTTACTATAGATCCACATAGCAAGCTGATTCAAAGGCCAAGTTCCCTGTGCTGTAGGAGCTCCATAAACTTTTCTCCATCCAGACAGAAGATAGAAATTTTCAGAATCGAGGGCAGCATTGTGTTTCAGAAACTCCAGGTTCTTGGAGGCTGTGGTTCAGACTCTGAGGGTTAATGTACTTGGCCTTCCACACCTCTGCCTGGACACTTGAGATAAAAAGAGGTCAGCTACTCAAAGGGCTTGCGATGTGATTACTGTGTGTTATACACTCTTATTTGTTTTTTACAGGTCAAAAGTCAGCGCTCAGCTTTTCTAGACCATAATATGGGAAGTCCCGAGAGGGATGGAATTTTTAAAACTTCTTTAATTCCAAAAAATAACAAAAATACAGGAAACGAAATGAAACATAAACATAGAACATAATGAAGTTTTATAAAGTGAACACTTGTATAACTACCACTTGGGTCAGGAAAAGGAGCTTGTCAGGGAGTCTAGAAACCCTTCCCAGCTGTATCTCCTTCCTCTCTCTTAAAGGAGAGGCTGCTGAGCGGACTCGGAAAGGAGTCTCCGCCTCCTTCACTTTAGCATCTCACCACAGAAGGGCACATTTTAAAAATTGCCTTTCAGTTTTCTAGGGTTTTGGAGTTTGCATCATAGACTCATAGAACAGGTGTTCATGTGTATCTGGGTTTTTTTATGCAACGTGGTGGCTTTAAGATTCATTCACCTTGTGGCAACATGGCTAGCCCTTCATTTTCGTTGCCTATAGCATTACGTCCCACCAATACGTCCAAATGTATTTTTCCATTTCTACTGTTGACAGACCTGTGAGTTGTTTTCCTGTTTTCCCATCATGAATAACGGTACTGTGGATGGTCTCCTGAATTCTCCCTGAACACAATATGCACCCATTTCTCTAGCATAAAACTTCTGGATCACAGAACATGCATGTCTTCAATTTAACGAGATCATGGAACAACTGTCTTCCCAAGTAGTTGTACAAATTTATGAGGGTTGAGTAATAGGGTTTCACAATGATGATATTATTAAAGTCACATGTTAATCTGTATCATGTCAAATGAAGATTCCGCTCCATTCATTGGATTTTGTTTCCTCCCTTCTTCCAGAGGAATTTAAGAGGTTTGCCCTAAAGCATCCGGAATATGCAAAGATATTTACAACGTACTTAGAACTCCAGACGAGCCATGTGTTTTCATTACCTGAGGAAGACCAGCCACCTCCCCCCATCACCACTAACAAAGTCAGTCCGGAAAACCATGACGAGAGCCCATCGGACAAGAAAGATGACTGAAAGCAAGTGTCCCCCAGAAAGGGACACAGAGTGGCTTTCACTGGACAGAGCGATGGCGTTTATCGAGAATATTGTAAATGGGATTTATTGAGTAATGAGGATGTACAAAATGGAAAGCTTTTTTATAGAAATGGTAGATTTTTATTAAGATGCTTTTATCCACATGTGTGGATCAAGGATTTTAATATTCCTCTTCCCTGTTATATTATGCTGTACTGATTGGTTTACTGGTGATAAATATATTTTTATGGAATCTTCCAGGTTAATTTGCACATCCAAGTGAATGAAATGCTCCCATGTACTGATGAGCATTCATCAAAATGCTCAAGAGTTTTCTAAGGGGGAGAAAAAGAAGTACTGTTTTGTTCTAATTCCTTTTCCTGCTGGAAATAAGGATGAAGAGTCTGAGGAATGTTGCAGAATTTTACCTCTACAGATTCATTGTTTTCCATTTCCATATCAGTTTCTTGGATCATTGACTATGGTTGGATTGGAAAGGAGAGCTCCGTTAATTAGATAAGACTCTTAAAAACCCCTCTTCTCTCTAGCACGCACCCCTATTATAGGTTTCCTCCACCACCCACCAAGGGAACTCATGCCCTTTCTGAATGATCTACCCATTTAGAACTTTTTTTTTTTTCACAGACAACAGCTATGGCCAAAGGCTAAGGGGGGGCTTGCCTTGCCTTATTGAAGGTGATGTTGATTGTCTAACAAGAAAATGAATTGTCGGCCACAGAGTTTGGTTCCATCTGAGTTGGATAGTTCAGAATGTAGCTCTTGCCCAGTAAATGAATCAGATTTGCTCCACTGATACAACATTAAAATTCAGAACTTGTTGGAAACATCTGCAGGGAACACACAAAAGATTCCAAAGCTACGGAGTCCAAAATCCTAGCAATCCGCCCGTGGGATCCCGGTAGGAATCGGGCCATGGCATCATCCTGAGGCCAATCGGTCATTTCCTGCTGGTACCGTTTTTATGGGATGTCACGCATGTGTGTGTGTGTTGTCAATGTCATTTATGTTTGAAATTTGGAACAGAGGACCAATTTTTTCATATACAAAAATAGTTGGATCAAATTCTGAGTTTAGTCTTTGGATTTAAACTCTTTGTTTTGGCTGTGTTTCTGAATATAATGGTGATTCATCCCCATGTTAGCTTTTTAAGGCCATTTTTTCAATGTCGAAAGTCTTGTGAGAGGGCTTGGAATAATGACCTCAAACTAGTTCTCCATGCTAAGCACTTAGTGTTGCAAGGTAATGAATGAGTAAATATGTATTGGATAATTGCTTACTAAAAGCCTTATGAAAGTATAGATAATTGTTTTTTTCATGTCTTAAAGTTATTTACACAAAGCATTGAATGAGCTGAAACAATTGCTTAACTAGGAAAACACATGTTTACAACAGTGTCTGGCATCCACAATTGAATGTGTTAATACTCAGGTACCATGATTATTTTTATTATAGAAAAGCCATAGAGTAACCATATTAGCCACGACAAAGTAGCATTGAAAATGAAAAGCTTTCTATGAAGCTCCTGTCTTCCTGTTTTCAAATAATATTTTATGGTCTTGAATTCCACTTCTGCCAACATAATGTTCCTATTTTGTCATGTTTTTGAACAAACAGAATTGCTACATACAATCTTGGTAATTAAAAAATTCTGGTTTTGCTATTTTTGCCTCAAATGCGATATATCTTTTTGATGTTGGGGTTGAATTTGTTTGCCTATTTAAGGAGTGGGATTAATCCTTTTTTATTGTATTTAAGCGTTATCAGACAGGATTTTACACTAATGAAAAGCTCAACTTTTAGCCAAAGCAGCAACAGTTAGTGTTTAGTATAAAGAAGTTGACTTCTGGCCATGGCAGGCGTAGCTCAGTGGATTGAGCTCAGACTGCAAACCAAAGGGTTGCAGGTTCAATTCCTAGTCAGGGCACATGCCTGGGTTGTGGACCAGGTCCCCAGTGGGGGCGTGTGAGAGGCAGCCACATATTGATGTTTCTCTCTCTCTCTTTCTCCCTCCCTTCCCCTCTCTAAAAAATAAATAAATATTTTTTTTAAGTTGACTTTTGATGGGGTGGGGTGCGGGGGCAAAGGGGGTGTTGACAACATAAGCCATGAGCCTCAGTGTCACTACAGACAGGGTGTCACTTAACCGAGATCGTTCAAAGAGGCTTTTCTCCTCGCGGGATGCAAAGTAAGGAACTGCATCTCATTAAATCAGTTAAATGCACTGTGGTTTTATATAATGATCGGGAAAACATAAGTTACTCTTCGAAAGGAGAAATACTAGATCCTGGGACCTATAAACCTTCAAATGACCATCAGAAGAGTCCTGCGGAGGGGTAAGGACTTCCTGAAGGCCACAGCCCCAGGGGCCTCCGTCCTGTAATGTGTTTCAGTCTCTGCCGCCTGTGTGTTTTTGGTTCCCCGGGCCCTGAGCGTGATGGCTGGTGCTGGTGCCCACAATGGGCATTTCACAGAGGCCGCCTGCCTCTCAGAAGCCCTGTGGTCTGCTCTCCTCCGGGGGCACTCACAGTGCAGATACGCAGTTCCCAGGCCGGGGACTCGCCCCTTCAGACCAGCGCTAACGCACGGTGCCTCCCTGACTACTGTTGATTGACACCCCGAGAGCAGGCGTCCAGTGGGTCGGGACAGGTGAGCCCTGCCCCACAGAGGCCCTTTCTCAGCCCATCACTGCAGATGCTAAAAACAGGCCAGTGAGAAATCCTCTAGGAAACACGTGTGCAGTCTTTTTTTCTTTTTGGTTCATGCGGATGAACGTCTTAATTTGGGGACGAATTATTATAGCAGAGCATTAAATAAGGTCTGTGCTGTAGTGTGATGGAGGTGGGGGCCCTCACCTAGCTGTTGGTGTATTTCTGATACACACATCATCCAGTCTGACATGATACGTGCCAGTCTGGTAAGTAGGGCAATAACCTGAAGAACTTCTGCTCTTCTCATCCCATTTAATTACCTCTTCTTTCTACATAATTATTCTCTCCCAACAAACTTCTCAAGTGTATTAAGCAGAAGTTCTAACAAATTGTCTCCATTGTATTTTGTTGCATTTTTTTCTAACATGTTAACCTGTTCTGACAAATTGTCTCTTTGTGTTTTGTTATATTTCTTCTAACATGTTAGCTTTATCATTTTCTTATCATTCTTATAAAATAGTCTATATACATTAGAGAAGCTAAAAAGCAGAGAAAAGAATAAACAAAAAAGAAAATCATGTGCATTTTCACTACCCCAAATGCAGTATGACTAATTTTTTGACATTTCATTTTACTCTTATTTTTAGATATTCTTACGCTCTCAAGAGAACAATATTTATGGTATTTTATATCCTATTCTTTCACTTACACTATAATATTTTCCAATGTCATTAACATTCTCTGTAAATGTAAATTTTAAAAAGTGTACCTACTTTCCCTTCAGGGAGCTATAACGTAAAATGTGTAATCATTCTTCTAATAATGAACATGTGAGTTTTATTTTCATTTTGGGACTATTAAAAATACCCAACTCAATACTCCATAAGAGTTCATAATTACAAATAGCTTGCTAAGGGACTTATTTATACTTTCTAAATTCCAAAATGAAAAATTCACTGATGATTTTATAATCCCTAAAATTTGTTTCAAACTCATTTAATGACAGAAAAAAAATGGATATTATCTTAGATTATGTACAGTTTAGTAATTTCAACTTCTTGGTGATTAATGATCCATGTCTCTTAAAGGTAAGTAAACTTATGTCTTTAAAAATATTTTTCCCTTTGTAAAAGCAACAGACTTCCCAATTAGTCCAATCAGGAACAATAATAGTAGTAATAATAGCTACCAACTTGGTGTGCTTACCATGTATCAGACGTTGTATTATGGGATCTACAGGCCTGAACTCATTTACACACTCAAGCACGGGTATTGTTTAAAACTGTCCTGAAGTCACTCAAGTGGCACAGCTTGGAACGAAACCTAATTTTGTCTGATTCCAAAGGCCGCACTTCTAATCATTTATATAAAGCAACACGGCCACTTGGTCCATAGAACTCACAGGTCTAGCATCTGCCACGTATTTTCCGATGTGTGGGTTCTGTACATCAAATTTCCACCTGTCACGGAGCACGGCCTTGACCTTTCCCTTCTTATGCTTTCCCCCTCCTATAACCTCTCTTGCCGAACAGAAAGCGCAGCACCCATTTCAGAGCGTAAACCGGAGAGCACTACTGTTTTCAAAGGCTGACCAGTGCAGTTTGGATAGAGTCCCGATTTTCCTGCAGGGCCCTTCATGGCCCCACCCCTGCCTATGGCCTAGGTCTCAGCCCTCTCATCTCAATCACGAAACTCTAGCACCCAGACTTTCTTTCCCTGAAACTGGCCAAAGCCCCTCCCAGCCTCAGGGTCTTTGTACTGCTATTCCCTCTGGAATATTCTTTCCCTAAGATCTTCGCCTGGCTTTCTCTTCTTCATTCAGACTTAAAATAAAAGCTTCATGGACATGTGATTTGCACGCTGTGTGATGCACCCATTACAAGTGTACAGTTCGGTGATCTCAGCATCTTCAGAGGGTTTGATGTGGGAAGCTTTGGAAAACCTTTGTCCACCCAAAACCCCAGGCGCCCTGGGAGAGCGATAAGGCCATCTGGGAAAAGCAAACAGCAGGATAGTCACTAGGACTGGGACTAGCACCCCCGCTGATAGAACCGATTTTCACATTTAGCCTTTGTACTCTGCTTCTGCCCTGTAGATAGACCTAATTACTGCATTCCGCTTCTATATCTCGCTTTGCTATGTAGACAGGAAGACCCTGTAGACTATATAAACCCCAAGAATCCTTTGTTCGGGGCTCAGAATTTGGAGACTGACTCCTCTGGGCCCATGCACATTAATAAACCTTGTACTCCAGAATCCCTCGGTGTCTGGTTGCTTCGTTTTCCTATAACAGGTTGTGCATCCTCTGTATCTAATTTTTTAATTTTTCACATCCTTCAGATTTTAAATCAAAGGGCATGGCGTTCGGTAGGAAACCCCCATCGCCCAATTTGAAAAGCCCACCTTGTCTCTACAGACATTTCAATCCTGTTACCTTTTTTGTTACTGCATTTAAACCTCTGTGAGATTTTTTTTGGTTTATCTGTTTATTGTCCATTGTCCCTAGCACTTAGGTGGACCTGACACATAGGAAACGCTCAATATTTGATGAATGAATGAATAATGACAACATCACCTTTTATTTCCTGTGTCTTGCGTTGTGTTAGAATAGAAACCTGGGTGTATAATCCCTGAAACTCCTAAGGCAAGAAAGGCTCAGAGAGGTTTCCCCCCTTGCTCCAAGTTAGGTCACTGGGGAGTAGCAGGGCTGGAATGCAAACCCAAGGCAGTCTGGCTCCAAATGTGGGCACTTGTGATTAGGCCAAGACAACTCGAACCCCTACAATAACTCAAGAATTACATGACAGGCTTCAGGTTCCAAAAACATGGAAACTGGATAATCTGAGAACCCCCTTGGCCACGAACCCCCGAGAATGCTGAATGGAGCATCACATGCTTATTTGAAAAGCATGGCTGAGTGTGTGTGCAAAGGCCAAAAACCGAAAAGGGAGCCGAGAACCAGAACTGCATGAAGGCACAAAAGTTAAGCTGTTGACCTTCGGACATTGGTCGGTCTCAGTAACAAGAGAGACTTAGCATTTTGTGGTGGTGGGAGACCTAAGACAAGGGACTTTGGAACTGAGATCTTGGCAGGAAAAAAAACAAACATTTGAAGGATCACCCTCAGTAAAAGAATGAACTAGAAAAATTCCACTTCTGGAAAAAGAAGATCATGAGGACATTTTCCTGTCTTGGCCTGGGTTGAGGTGGAATATTTTCCTATGGTCATTTTTAAAATTTCAATTCCTTGAAATGTTTTAAGATTCACTTTCTGTACCAGCCTGTGGTAGCTCTCCATGAATGTCCCATGTCTACTTGAAGAGAATGCATTCTGCAACAGCTGGGAGTGATGCTCTACAAACACCAGTCAGATCTAGTTAGTGGACAGGACTGCATCCTTCTTTATCCTTGCTGATGTTTTGTTTACTGGGTCTGTTAATTATTGAGAGAGGGATGTTGAAATCTCCAGCTATACTTATGATTTTATCAGCTGTCATTCTGTCTGAAGTTCTGCCATAAGGTTCATAATCACTTTTGATTGTTATGTCATCTCAGTGAACCGGCCCCTCTATCATTAGGAATAGTCCTTTCTCATTCTGGTGACACTCCCTGTCCTGTTAGTGGCGTCACCGCTGTCACCACCCAACTTCCTTATGATCAGCCCTTGCTTGCATGGTTTATCTTTTTCATCTTCTTTCTTCTAACCATCTGTGTCTTTGTATTCCACATGCGTCACTTACGTGAGTGTTTTATGGCCCGTTTGGGTCTCGCATGTTTACCTTTTCTGACAGTTCATGTGTTTTCACTGAAGCATGTAGTCCCCTCCCATTTACTGTGACTATTGATGTGAGTGGACTTGAGTCCGCCATCTTGCTTTTTGTCTGCTGTTTGCTCCATCTGTGCTTTGGTCTTGTTTCCTCCTTTCCTGACTTAGTTTGAATAATCAATTTATTATTATTTTATATTTTCTCTTGGCCTATTAGCTAGCCATACTTAATTTATTTACCATCAATGGTTGCTTTAGAGCTTGCAATACACACCTTCCATTTAATATAATCTACTTCCAAATAATGGCATACTTTTCACTCAGCACAGGAGCTCCCCCACCCTGCACTTTCATTCGACCCTGTGTCAGCACAGGTGCTGTCATCTGTGTCTTCTACGGATCTTTAACTCCACAGGTGGGAAAGCAGGCCATGCATTGGAAAAAAATACTTGCCAATCACATATCTAACAACGAAGTGCCTAGGATATATGAAGAACTCCCAAAATCCAACGGTAAAAGTAAAACCAATCCAATTAGAATGTGGTCAGAAGATGTGAACAGACTTTTCACTGCAGAGGATATACAGATGGTGAATAAGCACGTGAAAAGATGTTCCACATTATAACTCACTGTGG